AACAGAATCATAAATACTTTGATTTCAGGAGATTGGTTTATGCCATGTGAAAGTTGTGGAAGGTCTTAGCTCACTTCTACAGCTAACTGCACTTATTTCTCGACTGTGCCTTAAGCAAAATCAGCTGAGCAAGTGATGCACCGTTCGACAGAGCCTTTCCCGCCACCTGTGTTGATCTCGTCAGTAATGAAGTGAAATATTATTTTTTTATATTTTCAAAATGATAAATTTTATATTTTTTGCTAGGATATGTTGCAGCACGACAAACCTTTTATTCATTCAGAAGGCGTTTTTTCTTCCTCTTTCTCTCGTAGCAAATTGCCGGCAACGATACCGGTGAAAAGAATAACACCAAGCCACTGAAATAGAAGAATAGAAGGATTTCACTTGAATGTCATGTGTATGAAGATAAAGATTTTCCCCAAAAAAGGTAGAAGGGGCCATGCAGACCCAACCAAGAAGTGATCATTTCAAATAGGAATGTCAGCGAAAAAAGTAATCAAACCCAGAGCAGTAATCAAACTCTCATAAAAGTAATGAACCGGACTAAAGAAAATTCTCTCATGGACTAAACTTGAAATTATATGATGTTTCATATTCATGTGCTATCCTCGAAATATAAATTTACTGAATTTAAACCCACCTTCCATGTACATTTATCCCTCCTCACACCCCTTCCCCTCTCCCTGCACCCTCCCCCCTGTTCCTCCTCCCATCCTCGCGCCGCACCTTCCCCTAATGGTCCGAAATCAAACAAACGAACTGACCTGGTTAGTATTGAATTTTCTCCAGCAATCGGTTGGATTATTTATATTCACGGTGCCAATTTGCCGACGCACCCTCTTCCCCTTCTCCCCCGCATCTCCCCTAAATGGCCCGAAATCAAAAAAAACTGACCTGGTTGGTTTTGAATTTTTTCCAGCAATCGGTTGGATTATTTACATTCACGGTACCAATTTGCCAGGCCAGTTGTGCACCGGTTGCTGTTAGTGCCGTATAGAACGGCCATGTTTGATGCACCAGTGCACCGGTGACACCGAAA